TTTTACTTTATTTTTTGAACCCTAGCGGTCACCATCTCCCCTCAAAAACCCTAGAGCATATTTTGATGAATTTTGAGAGTTTTGTGAAGCAAATACCGAGAAGAGGGCGAGATCGCCAGCGTTTGGCGAGGGAGAACTTTTTTTTTTGCATCATTGGGATTTTCAGCAGCGTTTTGAAGCGAGTTTCATCTCCTCCAATCTCATCCCCATTTTAATTGATTTTTTTGTTGAGTTTTATTTAATTTTATTGAGCCTTAAAATCTAGTTTAATTATAAAAGTTGTTCTTTTAAATCATATAATACAAGATCTGATATTTTGGTTTTAAAAAGTTATAAACGAATTCTCTAACTTAGATTTAAGATCTGAAATCAATTTAAGATCTGAAATCAATTTTAACAGGAGCTTTTGTTGAGATTTAATGGTTTTCATGATGTTTCTGACGAACATGAACATGTTAGGGTTTATATAGTTCATCTAAATATAATAATTTGAGTTTCATGTAGTTTTTTGAACCCTAATCACGTTGAACAAGGTTAATTTTGTGACTTTTGTGTAAAAATATAAACTTGTAACTTTGTAGATCAAAACCCGAACCGAATCTCAATTTCAGCATTTGCTCGAGTCGGTCGACCGAAGCTAAGGAGTTGGTCAACTGATCCCACATGTTTTGCCTTGTGCACATTTGTGCACGTGTTCAGTCAACCGAAGGGCTTTTGTCGGTCGACTGATCAGTGTAGAGTTGTGAATGGTTATTCTCTTCATACGCGTTTGATTGTGAACCCGAAGTACGTGTTGCACATTAAGATACGTGCATTTTGTACGAGGATACACTAACTGGATTTGAGCACGCACAACCGTTTAGAGGTACGTAATCTAAGTTTTGCATTTTTCATGACAGATAGTGACATATACATTGCATTTCATGATGGTGTGGATGCTTGAGTGATTTAGTTGGTATGTCCCAATGAGACCGCGACAGACTACACTCAGGGTGGCTAGTTGGTATGTTGCAATGAGACTGCAACAGACTATAGTCCATGTGCATCATTATTGAGTGGGTTAGTTAGCATTCCGCAATGAGACGGCGGGAGACTACACTCAGAGTGTGTTAGTTAGTATACTGCAATGAGACCGCGGTAGACTTCACACATGTGCATCATTTGTTTCATATAGAGCATTGTACAGATTTCATTCATGCTCCCATATTAGTTACCCGAGAGTAGGGTATAACACTGAGATTGGCACACATGGCATATTTTTTATGCGAGATGATTTTATCGAATTATTTTATTTGTGACTACGTTAACTACCCGAGGGTAGTGTGAGGATTTGACATGACTTGTATTATTGAGGTTTGGAGTTGTATTTCTTCTATTTACTATTTCATTCCTAAGACTCTGGAGTTAGGATTTAGCGATTCATAATCTGAGACATGATATATACATGAGGGTTTCCTTGTTTGGATTATTTCGCTCGACGTACTAATTCTCGTATTGTGAATTTCTAAATCTCAATCTCCTTTTAGTTTAGGATAGATGGTTTTATATTTATATATACTAACTTATTTTTATATATACTCCTAACCCCCTTCCCTGAGGGGCGGTGGAGATGATCTCGCTAGTGCTTTGACACTCGTTGTTTCCCTATTTTTTTAGGCAACGAGTCTGACGCACGGAGAGTCGCAGGTTGATGGATATGCTGATTAACTTCCATCTTATATTAGTAGTAGTTAATTAGAGCTACACCGCAGTTTATTGTTTATTTTCAGACATTTAGAGTTATATTTTATTTTGTAAAGGTTGAGTGCCTTAATACTATTTCATTTGACTCGGTGTATTGAGATACTTCTCATTTTTATTCAGTTGTGAACATGATTATGATTATTCGGTTATCTCTTCTATATAAATCATGTTAATTGCATTATTACCTCTATTTGCCTGTTTTGTACCTACATTTGTTGTTTGATTCAACTAGAGAGATATTATTATGATGGTGAAACGTGTTATTGCATAGTGTGGCTACATAGCAGGTTTGACATATTTGGATTCTCCTTGAACTATAGCCTTGTGTGAAACCAAGGCGTCATAAGATCCCTGATATTTATAACTTGTTATAAAGTAGTATAAGAATTAATACTACAATTAATATTACTCTAATCTAATTATGTGGGTCAAACATTCGAGGCTTGTTGTATATTAAGGCTAATCCATTTAGGGGGTGTTTGTTTCAATTTTTTTTTGGGATATAGTGTGGATTTCATGTTTTGGGATGTAAAAAGTGCTTTTTTTGAGTTTTGGTATTCCTTAAACTTTGTTTGTTTCACTTTTTTTTGGGATATTGAATCCCTAAATTATAAAAAAAATAATATATTTTTAGGATTTGTGAAATCATCTCTTTTGTTTCAACTTCTTTTTGGGATATAAGGTGGATTACAAGTTTTTTGGGTTTTAGAATTCCATAAACCATGTTTGTTTCAAAACCAATTTTGGGATATTGAATCCCCAAATAATAAAAAACTATTATATTTTAGAATTTGTGAAGTCCTACAATTGAGAGAGGATGTAGGTTGGATATTGATGTATTAATGCTTATAATATAAGATTAATATAACATTAATATATTAAATATAATATTATAATAATATAAATTTAATATAATACATCTATTCCTCTATAATTATAGGAGGACCCAAGAATCACTGTTCATGCTTTAGTAAATGCTGCAGTAAATTACTGTAGCATTATATATATATATAATATATTATATATATAATAAATAATAATATATATATTATATAATATATATAATTATAATTATATATAATATAATTATATAATATATTATATTATACTTATATATATATTATATAATAATAATAATTATATATATATATATATATATATATATATATATATATATATATATATAATATTATTAATATATAATAAATATTATATAATAATTATATGTTAATATATAATATATATAATTTTATATAATATAATATATATAATATATTATATTATATAATATATATATTATAATAAATATAATATATATATTTAATATAGATAATTTATATATAATATATAATATTATTATATTATATATATATATATAATATATATTATATATATATATAATATATTATATATTATATATTTAATATATAAATATATATATATTAATAATAATATATAATATATTATAGGACCCAATAATCATTGTTCATGCTGTAGTAAATTACTGTAGCATTACCTAAAACCATGTTTGTTTCAAAACCAATTTTGGGATATTGAATCCCCAAATAATAAAAAACTATTATATTTTAGAATTTGTGAAGTACTACAATTGAGAGAGGATGTAGGTTGGATATTGATGTATTAATGCTTATAATATAAGATTCCAAATCCCAAAATATTATATAATATTATAATAATATATGTTATTAAAATATTATATAATATTATAATATATAATTTATAGTATTCCAAATCCCAAAATATTGATGAAACAAACAAAATATTACAAATTATAGTATTCCAAATCCCAAAATATTGATGAAAGAAACAAAAATTTTAGAGATCCCAAAACATGTAAAAAATTTTATGGATTTTAAATTATATGGTGAAATCCATATCCATAAATTTTGGGATACAAAACAAACACCCCCTTAATCAAGAGGGAAAATGCTACTAAGTCTTCCAACTTTTTTAAGTTTGTATTCGCAATAATATTTTTCTCACTATCTACCCTCTCCCATTTTCGTCGACAAACAACAATGGGGAAACTAGTGGGGATAAGTGTCTGGTATATCCATCCTTCAGCCAAAAGCAAGAGAAATCTGCAATTGCTCTCTAAGGTATCTACTTAAATACTCAAATGCCACAAACGAAGAAAGATGTCATGTTATATTCAATCAACAAAAGTAAATTTAGTATGATTTTTTGCCCCTAAAAAAATAAGAGCTAGTAACGTTAGCCAATCTTTAGAAACATTATACCTTCATAGCATAGAAATTAAGAAAAGTGCTGCAAAGGTTCTTTAAACTCACCCTGTTGACTACAGGCAAAACTTCATTGAGTCACGAAAGACACAGAGAGAAACAAAATCGAAGCCCTCGCGCTACTTGCATGTGCTCCCACAAAGCTGAAACGTATTTGTAAGTACCCTTTAGATCTTGCAAACATTTTTGTCGCACATTCCATAGGTTGGCCCTGATCCTGTAACTGATGATAATGCTGCTGTTGATGGCATGATCAAAGGAACCAGACACAGGAATATGAAGGATGACATCTCCGTTGGCTGACATATATGGCTTGTCTTGGACTTTGCCGGACAGGAACACGCTCAGAATGATTGCATCTCTATGTGCCAATCACGCGAGTTGGTCTCTGGCAGTGGATTTCTGAGCACACTATGAACGGCTCTACAAAATATCACACTCAAGATTAAAGATTATTGGGTAATGGAGAGTCTTATCTTCATGTCCACAAGCAAATGATGTATCTCGTACGAGATTTTGACAGTCTGGCTGCAGAGCCCAGATTAGTAAATCAGAACAGTGGCAAACCGATAAATCCACAGCTTGATCTTGAGTGGCCTAGGAGTTAGAACCGAAAATGTAGCCACCCACCGTATCAAGGAGTGATTTCTTCACCCTTTATTTATTTCCTTTTTTTCTCTTTTGAGAAAACGGTGCAAAGTAAACTAAGGCAGCGTTTCGTTCACGATGGGACTGGGACTAGAACTTTAGTTGGGACTTGGATTTTTAATCCCAGTCCCAAGTTTGGTTCCGTGCTCGAAATGGTAGAGATTAGAATTCTCAAAATGCCAATCCCACGTTTGGTTCCATGTGAGGGGACTTGGACGAACTATTGACTATTTTAATTACTCCACAAAGTGAAAACTTTTTTTTTTGGAGTCCTTGAGCCATTTATCAACTGGCTTGAGGAAGCTGAAGAAGAAAACTAAAAATTGAGTTTTTAGAGGAAATGAATACAAGCCAATACTACTAAAATTCACATACCATCAAGCCATAAATTGCCAATTTGAATAATGCATACAAGTCAACAGTACCAAAATCCATAAATAAATTTGTATTAAATAATATTAATATTACACACACACACAAACGATCTACATACCTCTCTCCGAGAAAAAACACATCAACGAATCCCACTAGCCTTCTTCCTATCATCAGCAAGCCTCTTCCAATACCCAGCAACCTCTTGAAACACATCAACAAATTCCACTAAACCCATATGAAGAATTAAACGTTCAGCTAAAAATAGTAAAAATGCTGAAAAATAGACAACAGAACAACTTTATATGAAAAAAAACAGCTCAAAAGTAAAAAAAAAACATTAATACTAAACACAGCATCGAAAATCCATCTCTAAAACAATAGGCAAATCAAGTATTCAACAAAACCCATCTCAGGAAAACACAAAAAATAGCTTGTGAATTTTAGTTCCTAGCACTTCTCAAGTCATGTAAAATGGGGAGTTTAACTGATGTCTTAAGAAAGACCAAGTAATGTATTAATTTGTCGTGGATCATGTCTTCATTCTGCTTTCATGTTGACGAATATGCCAGAAGAAATACCATATGCAAATATATATCCTAGGAAATGAGATATACAAGGATTACAAAAGAAATATTTGCACATACCAAGCATGCATTCATAATAAGATCTACAGGCAGCCAAGATTCAGCAAGCTCTTTGTTCAGAACAAAAGAGAGAGATAAATAGAACATAAATAAATCAAGCTGAAATAAACAGTCTCAAATTACAACACAAAATCCCCAATAAGATATAGATAAATAGAGCTGAAATAAACAGTCTCGGGTCCAATAAGACAGTAAAAGTTATTAGCTATTTCAGATAGTAGCACCTCATACACAAAAGCAAATGATCAACTCAAGAAAATAGAGGACAACTCAACACAGTGAAAGACAAACACTGCAAAAGCAAATGACCAACTTGATCAACAGAAAACAGGATGGCTCTTTTTACAAAACAACACAGTGACGAACTCAGCGACTCCAACAAGAACTGTGAAAACAGAGCAATAAAGGACTCAATCATCAAATCCACAACTAAATCAGCTTCTATTTTTCTCTCCCTTACTAAAATCAACCAGAGATCTCAATGAACTTCACATCCTTCTTCTTCGCCTTAACCTTAGGGAAACTAAGACAGAACTACTCATGCACTAAATCGGTATTCCAGACGTTTAGATCAACTATATTGATCAAAACATCTTGTTGATTTAATACAACTGCTCAACCAAAACATTAGTACCATACTTTTATTGCACCTTGATTGAGTTGAACATTTTTTTCGAATGAATGTGAGCTTTATTCAAACCAAGTAAGAAAAGTACATACCTAACCAAAACACCTATCACCACATAAGTTACTACTTATAGACTCAAACCAAGCTAACTGCTATGACCTATAAAACCTAAAGAAAACTCTAAAAACCTCAGTTGCTCTGTTGTTGACAAAGATAGACTTAATACATCATCTCCATCCATTAAACACTAACCATGATGGATTGGAACAATGTAAAATGGTATTTAGAAACTTTTGACCTCGATCATAAACAAAAATTGAGACTTAATAAATTTTTCAAATACATTCTAACGAAAGAATATAAAAAGCTTTGATATATACAATGTATGTTTTATCGATTATGTCACTAGATCACAATCCCTTTACCCATCACCGACAGCATTCTTTTTGCAATATTACAGGATTTAATAGGAGAAAGGTTTGTGTGTTGTCTCAGTCACTAAACTAATAGCTAATGCGCACTAATAATGGATTAATTATTGTTGATAGCAACCATATGGTGTCAACAAGATATATGACAAAGTGAATTTAGCACACCAATAGTTAAAATGAGCAAATTCAATAGTCAAACTTAGCAAGCCATGAAAATATAAAAATGATCAAAACTTTGGAGGAAAGATACCTCTTTGATGATTCAACAGTTAAATCTCAAACACCCAATATGTTTCTAGCAAGCGAATCATAATGATCATATTTCTTACTAATCGAGTCATTATATAAACACCTTCAATAGCCAAAAGAAAAAGAAAAAGAAAAAAAATTGATGTGTTATTTACCATACAAAATCAAAACCAAATGCTCTTCTAACTATAGGTACAAGTCATGTTTCTAGCAAGTGAATCCCATATCCTTCTATAAACTATAACAGCTCCCCTTTCAATTATTAAACAAAACAAGCATTAGCATAATGATCATATAAAAAGAACCAAAAAGTATTTACTAGATGCAACTCTACCAGAACAACTTTAATTGATCAGGCACTAGCAACAAAACAAAATTAATAATTTCCATTATTTTTTCAATAGTGTTCCATATATAACACCACCTTCTATAACACCTTGTTTCATTATACGCAAATGATCATATTCAGGACTAGAACAGATGGCAGCCTGTTCGGTAACAAATGAATGCTACTAGTGCGCAAAGTTAGGATCTGAATAGAGGTCTGATGTCTACATTGGCCACAATCATTGGAAATTTTAGATTGAAGGCACAAATAACTTATGTAAGATACAAATCATTCTAGAACATGCTAGAGTTATAATTAGATTGGTTATTTTTAGCAGATGACCTCTTTCAAGTTGTAATTACATGTAGAACATATGAAACTGGTTACAACAAATTCTACTCAAAATCTTATATGCAAGAAAACCGAACTCATCAGTTTCTCACATACACAAATGAAAATATATATATATATATATATTAGTTGATTTACATATACTTGATTCAGAAAACCGAAAATCACATTAGCAACAAGTTTTTCTCCATGTGCAAAATCTGATGAACAACTTCACATAAATGAACAAAACAAACAAAGAATTAAAGCAAAAACTAGAGCCTATTCATCTTAAAAGTTAAAATCACCAAAATCGCAAAGATTATGCACCAAGATACAATTTTTCATCTTTTATCATGTAACTAATCAAGAAAATATTTTACACATCAAATCAAAACAAATGTAAAATGAGATTGGGAAAAACAATACCTCGAGAGATCTGCTTGCAATCAATGACAATCACAAAAGATGAATTTCGAGGCGGAGGAGCAGAGATCGAGTGGAGATCGAGCAGAGATTGGGGCTGAGATAGAGCCTGAGATCGAGCTGATCGAGCCTGAGGTCGAGCTGAGATCAAGCCCGAGTCGAGATCGAGGTCGACGGAGATCGAGGCCAAGTCCAAGCGGAGATTGGAGGTGGAGGAGTGGAGATCGAGCAGAGATTGGAGGTGGAGGAGTGGAGATCGAGCAGAGATTGAAGGTGGAGCTCGAATTCAACGAGAGAGGAGATTAGAGGAGAGCTCAAACAATAGATCGCGGTCACAATTTTTGAGAGGCGTGGTTGGACAATAGATCCGGATATCCTAATAGCAGGGAGGGTGGAGGCAATTCATAATCCCCATTTTGGGCTTTAAACCAAAGTCCTTGTCCTACCAAATTCTCAGTCCCATGTACTGCCAAACATGGGTTTAGACACAAGTCGTAGGATTTCAAGTCCTAGTCCTAATCCCAAGCTTAACCAAATGCACCCTAACTATATAAAGCTTGTTGAGTTGCCAACCACATATCCCATCCAAAAGGGCAGCAGGAAGTTTGAATGATCCTGAAATCCGAAGACTGCATTCTTCATCAGGATTTCTGAAATTTGGAATTCAATCTCATAGCTTTCCGCATCTTATTGCTTCAGATCAGAACTTGTGAAAACAGTGGCAAAATTCAAGCATGCCTACACAGCCTCAAAAGTATCCACATTAATCTTCAAACTGAATGCACCAGTCAAGGGATTCACTTACTAGGATTACTCCCAAGTGCCAACTTGCTGAAGTTTAAGCATGAAATTTACAACCATTTTTCGGAAGAACTGAGATCACTTACTAGGATTACTCCCAAGTCCCAACTTGCTGAAGTTTAAGCATGAAATTTATAGCCATTTTCCAAAAGAACTGAGATACCACAAAAGGGTCTAGACTGTTAGCAAATATTAACTGTGTATCTTGATAGAAGCAGCCTCCTCACTGTTCTTCCTATACAGAGCAATGTGGTTGTGGTACTCTTCCAGCTCTTTTTCCAGCTTTTCAATAAATTGGCTAGTATGTTCAAGTGATTGCTCAAATTTATATTTTTCCAGAGCCTGCGAAATCAACATCCATCAGTGCAGCATAGAAGGAAGAAAACAAGTTATTGTCTTTTGACTAACAAGTAGGAATTCAGGAGTTTGACATGAATAAAGAATTCAAAAATCACTGTATAATACTTGCAATTAGTAGGCATACATAGTAGTAAGGTTGCTTGGTAGTTGAGGTGATACCATAAGTTGAGAAGCCTTGAGTGGAGTAATTTACAACAACAAATTGTTTGAAAGTTTAAAAAAAATATTCCATCTACACTCCATACCACCCAACCCATTTACTTATTATATCCAGGGATTGCCATGTTATTTTCTCACAATCTAATATTTCATAGGTGATATGACAAAAGGAATGTTTTTTTCCTTCCTAGACAGATAAATGCGCTCAGCCAAAAGCAAACAACAGACAGATCCATCCTTAATATCTTGCCTATAAAATTGTTCATATATGCATAACTTTAAAGTTTCTTCCCATGTCATGCATAAATGTTAATTCTTTACAAAACATAATAGCTAGTTTCTTTACACTGATCAACAAAACAATGACCAAAAGCTTCAACTAGTAAGAGTTCTGTATGCACTGCTTTACAAAGCCCCACTTTCATTGCCAAATATACAACCAAATGACAAGAACTATGAATCTATGATGATTAAAACTAAGAATTTTACAGTTTAATCAAAAAAGCAATAATAAAAACACTTGAATGTTAATATAGAAGTCTACTTGATAATTGGGAAGATAACGGAGCATTGGCCAAGGGCTGGCAGACAACATAGTGATTATGTGGAAACAAAAGCATAGTCAATGCTAAATGTAATCCAAAAGTAGCTAACATATAATTCTTTATGAACTGAAAAAGTTTTTCTCTGAGAATATATGAAATTAGAAAAAAGTTACCTTCTGCTTAGACAGAGTATTAGGAGGTGACATAACCTCTGGCTGAACGTAGTTCTTCCCTCGGTAAAATATTATAATGGTGTGCTTTATGTCAATTACGATACCTTTGCTGAGCCGAGCTAACTCATCAGCGTACTCATGCACCTGTCCAGGTCTACAAGGCTTGCACACAACTTTCACTGTTTCATGATTTTTCCAATGGAGATGCATGTTCAGAACTACACCACCAAACACTCCTCTTCTTCCAACAGGGACATAATGTTTCTTCTTCTCACCCCTACGTCTGAGATAGAAACGCTCCTCTGCAGTCAATATTTCAGGATCATGAACTGGTGCTGGGCCTTTTGGTACATCAAATTTCCTTAGCTTTTCAATCAGCCATTCTTCTTTTCTTTTAGCCTGAGTTGGGAGCACTTAACGTGAGTCACATAAGCACTTTTTATCTAATCATGATTAACTATTCCAAGTTAACATTCAAAGTATCTCAAATGTGAATTAAGATGGCTTTTTATACAAGCAGGAGGATGTGGATGAGATTCTAGATCAGAAACAGTGAAGCTTCAACAAAAAACAGGAAGAGGACAGAAAGACAAAACATGGGCATGAATAACAAGGGATTATGAGGTCTGAAAGTCGAAACTTGAGGCTTATACCGAATGTTTCTTGAACCAAAAGGAAAGCGAGGCTCTGATATTTAGGATGTCTTACCATGAAAACATAAGGCATGTCAGATACTATACATTTCTCCAAAATTTAGACATCAAACTGTGGCTATATATACATTTTTTCCCTAAACACATATATCTCAGTTCAGATGCATATATGCATCTGATAGTTACGCATAAGTGAAGAATCTAAAGTTCCATACAACAACAAATTTTACTAAGTATACGGTGCATAGCAATTATAGTTAAAGAGTAACAAACCAAACGCCAAATAGTTCGAAAAGCATTATATTTGATTTTTTTTCAAAATCTATTTTGCAAGACTACAATTATTAACCAAGTTAGATGCATAACAAACTACACCGCAAATTTCACGTAGTCACACTGAATTAAATAAAGGCAACTCATAGCAACATCCACCTTTTCGAGCTTGTACCTAATCCGAACCCCTGGATTCGAAGATTTCATCTTCTTCTTCGCCTTCAACCGATACCATTTCAGCTGATTCAGCTTCTGTTTCT